CTAATCTTGGAACCACCAATTCTGGGCTACCAAAACCAGCTTATTTAGGCTTTAGGTCTTCTGATGTCATGTCCTGTTGTTTCCATGCTTCGGGAGCTCCTTTCCTTGATAATAGAGGTCTATTTCATTGCTTTTGTGAGCCTAGACGAAATTGGGCGTCTACACCAATGAGTGAAGTTGGCCAACCAGGAGTGGTTGAGAATACTCATTATAAGCCTGAAAAGGCTGATCAAAGAATACTAGCGGTAATGAGTGAAGTTGGCGGGCTAGAAGTCTTCGATAATACTATTTGTACTTAATTGAAAATCTAGTGGAACATGAGACTGGATGTAGCTCAGTCTGAGCGAATCAATATAAAACACTTTACACTCTTTACCTATTTTCAGACAAAATTTTATTTAGTTGTTATATCATACTAAACATTTCGTCCACTAATCATTTTTTTTACCATCTTCAGACAAAAAATATACTTGCGTATCTTAAAGAACATTTTCCTTTTAAGGAACATTTTCTTTACTTATTTCTCAAGTGCAGATGCAAACTTTGTTTAGCTAATTTATTATACTGAAAGTTTCGTCTACTACTTATTTCTCAATGCAACCTTCTTCAAAAGGAAAATGCACGCACTTGACATATTATTTTAAGAAACATTTTCCTTGAGCAGATGATAAACTCTTAGATGCAAAATATTTTGCTAAGCAAACCTTGCACAGTCTTCAAATATTTAAATTCATATTTTATTGGACAAAAAAGAGCTTCTCTATGAAAATATTTTTAAAATTCCTTTGTTCACACATGCACATATTCAACCCCCCCCTTCTATGTGTTTTCATCTAACTTCACATTCTATGATAGGTATGACCACCTGTCATAGAATGTCACACCTATCATAGAATTTAGGTGTCAATGTGATTAAAACATCACATTTGGTACCCATACTATGACAAGCGTTAACCACTCAACATTGAAAGTGAACATTTTACACTGCATGTTGACTTGTCATAGAATGTTTAGACATTCTATGTTGTTAGGATATATGTCACGTCCAGGACCAACATAGAATTCCAAAACACTCAACATAAAAAGCCCCTACCACATTAGTGAATGTTACTGTTATATGTAAATTTTCAAGAGACTTGAAGAGCAAAGATGAAAGGAGAAAGACTCAGGTGAGGCAATTATCAATTGAGATTTTCGAGCATCGAAGTAAAGGAGTTAAAGAAGTTACCAAAAGTTAGTAGAGGTTTATTTAGTGATGTACACGTGTCACAATTTAGAGTGAATAATGAAACTTCCTTCAAATTTGACATCTCAACGGATCCATTCCATGACACTCCACACGATGACACTTCACACAACTTCTCGTTGGTCAAAACCCTTCATCAGTCAAAACCCTTTGTAGGTAGCCTTTTTTGAGATGTTTTTATGTTTTTAGGATCAACGATTGACCCCATAAACCAACACAAGACTTTTCAATGTGATTTTTCCTCACTCGCACACTTTCTGGAAAACTTCCTAGAAGGTCACCCATCCTTGAATTACTCCAAGTCAAGCATGCTTAACTATGGAGTTCTTATGGAATAAGCTATCAAAAAGTATATGCATCTTGTTAGTATAAATAGTACAAATTCATTCCTTTAAGTTATCCTTAACATATAATCTCATACTTGTACAATCTTTGGATCCCTCTCATTCTGGTGTGTCCGAGTTGTTACACAAATAATACATAAACAAGACATAACATACACAAATACACATCATCATAACATAGTAAGCAACAACAAATAAGATTATAATGCATATGCAATGGACACGAACTACATGTTATCATGCATGTGGCGCCAGTAAAAACATCGCACATCACACTTGTACATTGTCGCTAGCAATGAACATAGAGTAGTCTAGGAGTACATGTCGGGTCACACCCTTTACGCACTTTCACTAGAAGGACATACTACTAGGATCTAGTAGGGATAGCTAAATCGCCCAAAACACATCCCATGCTCACAAGGGAAAACTTGAGACTTCCAAACTGAGTTATCTCTAAGGTTGGTTCCAAATATTTTACACAAGAAACCTTCCCTGGTGGTGTATTCCATATCATACCCTTTAAAAACATTTTATAAATATGATGCATGTCAAACAGACTCTATACATATATTATATTCACATGGTCTTATATTATAACACATCACACATCTTATCATATTATATCATGGCTAACCCTTGCTTAGACTTCACATCATGTGACCCTCATAGGATTCATACACATCAAATGCATCAATGTTAAAGCACATCAATCAATTCATATAAAGCTCACAATATGTCATATCAATTACATACTCACACATTATAACCAAATATTAAATAATACAATGATTACACATTATTTAATAGACCTCAAGTATGAATCATTATAAGATAGTTTAATCATATTTTAGAACCTTAACCATAATTACTAAGATCAATGTCACTAAGAATTTCTAGCAACTTTATCACTATCACACATGAAGTCCTTAGATATCGCTATCATTATAACACCTCAAGTCAGTAATAATCAACGTACATCATAACCTATTAACAAGTGTTTTCTACCATAATTCATCTTTCCTAAACATTGATATAAGTATCTCAAATCATTCATAAAATCAAACACTTAAAGGGTAAAGTTATTCATCATCTTGATTTCAAACTACATTTCCACAACTTAACCTTGTAAGGCATCGTGTAATCCAAACATCCTATATATATATATATGATATCAAGTTGTTCTTAACTTTATTAGCAATTTAATACAATTATCTCTAACTTCTATGCTGACCTCAAGAGCTAAATATGTCATCTATTATTTTAAATAATTAAAAAATTGCAATATTTTAGCCTAAATTTGACAGATCGGCCTTTGCTCACTAATTTGATCATAATTGGAGTTCTATACCTCCTTTTTATTTTATTCAAATGGAATTTGAAATCTGACATCCATTGCTAAAACTTTCATGAAGATCCAAAAACCTAATTCTATCATTTAAGTCTACTCAAAAAGTTTACAATGTACGCACGTTATGTTTCGCGCATAGAATATGAGATTCGTCTTTTAAATCACATAACTTGGTTATTCCTTAACATTTTTATGTGATTCTTGAGTTTAAATTGTAACTCTAAATGTCTACTTTCTAACCCAAAAATAAGAACTCAATTTCATTAATCATATGCAGAGAAATCAAATAAATACCAAGGTCTGTTCATACTAGAGTTTTCAGAATCTAAAACAATTCACATTCAAACTCTCTTCTCTAATCCAATTAGTAAAAATCATTATTTAAGCTTAATACTACTCTATTATGCCATCAATTACTCAAATAAAAATAATTTCACATTCTAATTATATACCTCTATTAACTATTCATACAATAACCATTTAGGGTGCACAATTATATGTTTAATCACAAAATTGGAAACATATACAACCGCACCACATAAAATAGAACTATAGTACATCATATGGAAGATCAAATAACACAATGAAATCAATCGAGGAAACCACTTTTATACAATACAAGCAACAAAGAAGGGATTGAGGGTTAATCTCATTATCCAACATACAAACTACACCTAGAATGAAGTTTCATACTTCTTTATTTACCTAGACAAGCTCTAGATGAAGGATGCATGACTCTGGACTAATTTTCTTCCTACTCTTATTCTTTGAGCTCTGAAGCACATATATAAAAATAGAGAAGTAAAAAGGGCTTGATAAGAAAACTTTTCTTTTAAAAATCCTAACCTCCTTTTAACCATCTAGTTAAAATACTTTAACTATAGTTATCTTTTCCTTTCCCCAAAATTTTTAAAAATAAATAAATAAATAATATATCAATAAACATATTTTTCCCAATCCAAATAATTATAACAAAATACAATAATTAATAATTAACAAATATATAATATATAAAATAAATCTCTTTCTTCCAACCCAATTATAATTAAAATAAAATATATAAACAATAACAATAAAAATACATATTTTCTCCAAATACTTATTATCTTAAAATATCATAAAAAACATATTTCTCTAATAAATATTAAACAAAATAATTTTCATGAATATTCATTATTTAATTAAAACACTCATAATTATTAAAAGTTCCTAAAATATTTTATAAAACCTATTTAATTAATTAAAACAATTATAAGAAAATAACCTTAATAAATATAAAAATAAATAATAAATAAACTATTATATTATTAAAAAATTTGCAATGTTACAATTCTCCCTCCATTTAAGAAATTTTGTCCTCGAAATCTTCGGTCGTGTTGAAAAGATAGATAGAGAAAGCTACATATATTCTTTTGAGTAAAGTGACATGGAGTAACAACAAGAATGCTTTGTGGAGGAAGAAACAAAGCTACATGATAGAAAATTTCACCAACTCCTTTTCAAGTGTAGGATTGGATCAAGGAAACATAGAGTAAGTTTATGCGGTCATATGTCAACCAATTCTAGTTCAAGAATTCTTTCCCAAGAATGCAAGATCTCCAATACTAGACTTAACTCTTTCCTTGTTGAGTTATGATATCAAGTTTGACTTCTAGTAATGATTCATAGTCCTAACCTTTCACCATTGAATAATTTTAATCCACCTATAAAATAAATTCCATTTCTTCGCAAAAGGTAACTAGACATGTCCTCAAAGAAAAAAATTTAAGAATTCTTTAACTAAAGGGATGTCACTTAGCTCAATTGTATTCTTAAGTCTCAAGAAAAGAAAATAATGTATACTTGAATATTTCAATTAAAAAATTTATAACTTGATTGACAATCATAACTAAACACTTTTACTCTCATTAAGGACAACACTTTATCAAGACAAAGCAATTGAACATGATTAAAAAATAATTAATCTTTACTAAGGATTATGTCTAGTTGACTAAGAGGAAACAAACCAAGTTAATTAAAGAGTTTGAACAAGTACTAGTAATACATTATAAACAAGCAAAATTTTTGACTGTGAAAGCCAAATTTTTGCGCAATTCACCATACGCGGGCAAACCCTCTGGATAGACTCTCGACACTCTCGCGGGCTCTTCTCCTCCTGACCGTCGACAACCCTAGTTGGTAATGCTCCAAATCCACAGTTGTTAATGCTTCAAATCCACAGACCCCTCCGAAGTCCGAAGAAGCTCTCCCGAAACGTGGTGGTGCTCACGAGTTCGTCGTCGAAGGGAAGACTTGAGGATTCATAAGTTTAGGGTTGCGATAGACCCACCATCGAAGCCTTGTCGGAGAGCCTCACCGACGATGCTCCTTCGATTCTCGCCGTTGAAAAGCCTCTAACTTTGGATGATGCAGAAGCGGATACTGACATGATTGATGGGTCTGACGAGGTGGTTGTGATGAGTACCAATTCTGAGCCTTTCTTTGTGAGAAGGGTTCTAAAAGAAGCGCTTGGTAACAAGGTTAGTGATTTTAAGTTGTTAGTGTTTATTGTCCATGGTATTGTTCTTGAGTCTTGGTTTGTTTGAGTCGATCATGATTTGGGTATGGCTGTTGGTTGTTCTCACCTGCTTGAGGATTCTCCTTTAGCGTTTTCTTCTATGGTATCTTTGAGGTATACCCTGCTTAAGATTTTGACTAATGGTGCTTCACATAGTGTGAATTTGAAATTTCAGACGTTGGGGCATTTTGTGAATGTGTGTGGGTCGAGGTTGCATTGTGTTTGTTTGGATAAATGTAAATGTGCTAGGCCTTTATAGTTGATGGTGGAAAATTGTGAATCTAAAGGTACCGTTACTAACAGTGGAGATTTTTAGTTTGGAAATGAAGTTTTTGAAATGTGGAAGATGATGAAAGATAGGCTTGCATTGCCGTTGTTAATTGAATGAGAAAAGCAATACAAAGTCAAAAAACTGAATGTCCTGGTTCTATGAAGCACCGATACTTCAATTTGCTTCACGTATCCGTATCCGATACGTATCCGTATCCGATACTCTTGGATACTTCACCGATACGTGTCAATGAAGTATCCTAGTCTTTAAAAATATTATGAAAATTTTATTGAATTCCGATACTCTCAGATACTTCACCAATACTTATTAGTGATACGTATCGATAAAGTATTCAAATTTTTGAAAAATTATAAAATATACATTACAGCTAAATAAGATATATAAACATGTTTAATATAGAAACATAGAAATATTTGTCTTTGATGAACTGTAAATGAAAATTATCTTCTATATAGATAATTTTAAGAAAGGAACGAAATTGGTAATATTATTTCTATTTGTAAACAATAAAAAGTAATCTATGATGAAATGATTTATAATTTATTTATTTTTAGTAATGTACAATAAGTATGTTTTTAATTTGGATTTGCAAAATAGCAATTATATATTTAATGTTTATGAATTTGATCATAATTACATGTACACAATTATTATAATATATGAACATTGATATATATAATGACACGTATCTTACAAGTATCGTATCTTATATATTTTAAAATAATCGTATCGCCGTATCGGATACGTCTCATATCCGATACGCGTATCGTATCGGTGCATCATAGTCCTGGTTTAATTATAAAAAATACCCTTGGTTTTTCTGGTTTAACGCATTTAAATCTACTGGCTTGCTCTAGGTTTTAAGACTGTAGTTAGTTATGTCAGTTCTTGAATATGTAAATTAAAATTTGGAACAATTTGTGTGTATGACTTATTAATATTAATTTTCTTCAGATAATGAAGCTCATAATGGGATAGGATGTCTAAGTTACATGGAAGAGCAACCATGTGGAATATATAGTGTGCATGTGGATGCTTCAAATTCAACTGGATATCGGGTAGGTGAAGTTAAGATACATGAATATACAAACTCAATGTTAAATGAACTTATCAAATGGGAGAAAATTTCTGTTGAACCAAGCTCCAAAGACCTACAGACATTGTGTCAATTGTATCCTCTGTTTACATTGGCATTGGATGTACTTACTGAGTATATGAAGGAGCTTGTGCCTCATTGCATGCTTTTGCTAATGATATAGTCCCAGTGGGAGAGTCAGGAGAGGGAATAAATAGTAAAGTAAAAATAAGAATGACTTGATCATTGTTTGATCACCTTTTGGCAGGGATGGGAAAACAGATTTTCATCCTTCAATAAATTGCTATATTAGGCTGGTAGAAACTTGATTAATTTTACTCAAGTTATACCTTCTTTTTCTATGATATTTCTCTTGTTGATCTAAGATTCACATTTGTGCTTATTTGTTATTATTTTAGCTAATTTCATATATTTAGCAATTAAGTGAAAGTTATAACTTGTAAGCATATTTTGATTTGAAAGTTACTGTATGTGTTGGTATTAACAGGTTGTTGATGGGCTTAATACAATTTGTAGTGTTGGGCACACTGGTACAATAAAATCCATCAAGAAGTGTATTTATGGAAATCCCCATCTTGTGATTTTCAATTATTGCTTTAGCCACATGTCTATCCCAATGATTCGGTATCTTCTAACTGTATCAATTTGTAGACTCTCTCTCAACAACTCAATTACTGGCCTAAGTTCATGCATTATCCGGTCCCTTAAAGTGTGTACATCAGAAGATAAAGTTGTCAAGGTAAGTTTATTGGTCTTCTAGGAATGAATTCTATTTCATAAATTTATGTATTTTAATTAGCTAATTTTTAAAAATATTTTTTTTTATTTTTTAAAAATTAAGTAAAATGTATTTTAAATTTATATGTTGCGTATCTTTCTGTATAGGTTTGTTCTTTGATCCAAACACCAAAGGTGGTTACGAGTTAGGTTGGCAGCGAATAATTTTCTGTTTGTTCTTCTATATAAAGCTTATGCATGTTGCTTACGTCCTAATTGGTATATATTAATTGGATCCGATTAATATATATCTTTACCTTTTTTGCTAACAAATTTCTATTGATGCATGCAGTTCTTTAGTGCAGAATCAGCGAGAAAAGGGCTTTATTTAAAGAATGGAAAGTAATTAAAGACTATATCTAGTTAATCAAGATAACACACTAGGATAACAATTGTACTTCACACTTCTTCCTCCATATATAGCAATACATGTTCGTGTAAAATTTTATACATATGAAAATTGTTAATTACACATTACTTTTGTACTTTTAACCCCGCTGATATCTTTCTTGATAATTAAATATAGATATGCATAATACGGTATGAGTCCTTTATCATTTATTGTACTTTTAAAAAATGTTAGAAAAAGGAGTTGTTAGCATTTATCTGATTAACAACTTTTTTATATGGTTTTATAATTTATTGGTAAAGAAAATATACTGTTAGTGTGTTATCCAAAGTTTTAATTAATATTTTTGTTTGACGGTTTGGTTTAGGGATAAACTTCCATGATATCTAATCTTTCTGTATTTTTCTCTTATTCTTAGCAATGTTAGATGTTGTATAGAAAATTATAATGTAAAATACATAGGAAATATTCTTAAAAAAATTATATTAGTCGGTACATAGGAAATATTCTTAAAAAATAATGTTGCCATTTGATTTTGTTCTTTGCATGGTAAGCCCAATGATGTATATTTTTCTTAGCATGATTCAATTGCTTTTCAGATTTTTTTTTTACTAGTTGCATAAATTGTAGGTTTAAATGAGGGGCTGGAATTGTTGTATTGGTTGAATTATTGTCTCTCTTACTTTATTTAAAGTTATAGTAGTATAAAAGAATGAGAGTGATCATATACATGTTAGCTGCCCAAATTGCAAGAATAGATAGACCATATATATTTCTTGGCTTCTATTTATTGTTAATTCAACAGTGGGCTAGTTCATGTTGGTAAGGCATTAGGGAGGATGTTGAATTTGTTAGTGTGATTTTTATTATTGTGGTTTGGTGGTCAAGTTAATCTTGATACAAGATATTTTTTCATTTTATATAGATGAAAAATTTGTCTAAAAATTATACATACATTTATTACAGATTAAATCAGAAAGAATCTAAAAACAAACAAGATTTTTCTTTCTTTTTTTTTTTTAAATACCAATCTACATCGGTTGAAGTGAGAACAGATGTAGATAAAGATATACATTCTACATCGGTTTTCCTGATAACCGATGTAAATTTATACATATATCTACATTGATTTTCCTAATAACCGATGTAAATTTAGGTATATATTTACATCGGTTTAAAAATCGATGTAAAAGTGTATATATTTTCTAAGTCATTTTATTTTACATCGATTTTAGAACTGATGTAGATGACTTTACAGAACCGATATAGATAATACATCCTGTAGTAGTGAGGATTATGAGCAAGACCATTAGATAGAGTTTGCATCCATTAGATAAGAAATTAAGAAAAGACGAGCAATTGAATTTTGAACAAACAAGTGACACGAAGAAATAAGTTGTACAAAAGTCAAGGAGTACAACTAAAAGATTCGATATCACACAAAAAGGATTTTTTGAATAGTCTTGCAAAGATAGCATGCAAGCATTCTCCATCACCACTCAAACCTATAGTAGCTAGATGAGTGGTATACCAATAATCACTATTTCTTACATAAGCAAGATGTATCCAAACAAAAAAAAATCGAAAAAGAAGTTAAAGCTAATAAACATATCACAACACATACCAAATCACACATCAAAGTACACATAGAACACACAATCATAGGACATAACACACAATCTGGTTTGAATCAACCTGGCTCTGATACTAATACTAAATGTGACACCCTCTACCTCGCATGTCATAATATAAAATAAATTGAATAAACTCAATATAATAAATAAAACTTAAAGTTCACTTGGGTAGAGAGAATCACATTTTAACATAAACTATACTTAGTGAAAGTATTAAATTATGAAGGAATTAAAATTAAACTACTCAAATCCTAACTAATTCTCCAGTGTTAGGTGTCCTATCAGAGCAAGATCCAATGTTGAGGACTAAGCCTCATCATCGACATTCTCAGCATCATGTTGATGATTACCTACAAAAACCAAAAGACAACACAAAAGAAAAAAGAGTAAGAAACATTTTGCTCTAACTCACAATGCAAGAATACAAATTGGTTAGTCAAACACAAACTATAACACCCCGAAAGTTTAATTATTATTTATTTTTGTATTTATTAGGGTTTAGGTATAAGAATTACTGTTAAGGTCAAGTACTTGGGTAATTCTTAAAACCCCGAACCCCGAATTAGTGTTAAGGTCAAGTACTTGGATAAGTTTAAGGTCAAGAATGGGTTATTTAACTAAAGTTCCCTTGTATTTTGCACCCCTATAAGAAGTGGGTTTAAGAAACAATATTATCAAGCTATGCTCCCTAATCCTAAATTCTCAAAATAGATTTAGTATGGCTAAAATAGGATTTTGAGCCTTGATTTCACCCAAAAAAAAAGGAGTTATGGTTTGAAAGTTATGCACATCAAAGGTTTACAGTTTCAAGAATTTCTACACAAATTAAAGTACCGAACTCTAATCATTATCGAACCTCAAAACAAATTTCATATGGGCTAAATGTGGTTTATTAAGTTTGGTTTGACTAAAAATGTCAAGCAGTTTGAAAATAGCATGCGTTGGAAGATTGTAAAATGCACAATCCTAGAAAATGGGTTTTTCCTACCAAACTCATGCTACACATTCCAAATTTATGTGAGACCTTAAAAGAATTTTGGAGGGTAATAATCCAAAGTTGTGGGCTTTGGTCTCACTCAAAAAACTTAAATGGATTAAATATAACGTACGTTTCAAGTTTCAAGTCAAAAACAACTTTAGAAACAAGGGGTTTTCAAGGATACATTTAAAATCCATTGGGAGAAACCTTAAAAGACCTCAAAACAGACTTTATACACCTAAAAATAGGATAGTAGGGACGGGTTTCACTCCAAAATTCATCTTGTGTCAAAAGATGAGCTTTTGGGTTCCATATAGGACTAGTTTTGGAAAAAAAGAACATATGGTCCGAATTGAGCTACGAAAGTGCAATGACTTTAAAATCTTGTATAGAGTTAAGATTTACCAATAAAAATTATAGAAAAAGGTTTTGTCTCAAAACAAGACCTCTGTTGAAAATGGTGCAGTTGTAAAGTTGGTCTTTTTACCATTTTCGGGTCATGGTTTTGGTACCTAAATTTCATAGTTTAACTAGAAACAGAAACATGCTTGTTTTTGTTTTGGTGATCTATATTCATTAATTTAGGTATGATATGATTATAATATATAATACTTTCTTTTAGTGTGAAGATATTAGCTTTACACTCCAAATCACTTCCATTAACATAGGTTTTTTTTGTCATTACTATATAGTGCTCTCTTAGTTTAGTTTAGAATTAATCATACCCTTTACCCTTCAAATCTCAACTTACCTTCTAATTTATCAACAGTTACCCTCCTCACAAGCTCCTTTTACTATCTTAACCTCTCAATTGTTTTAAGTTTCTCTATAAGCTTCTAATCCTCAAATTAATGGCACAAGACATAGTTTCGACTTTCCAAAAACACGTGAACAAAACTCATAAAAAATATGAGGTAGTAAATATATATCTCTAGCATTTTGTTGCATTCTCAACCCTCAAGACACCTTCAAACTTCTTATCACCCCTCCTCTCTACTCAAGATTAAGATACTTGCAACAAAGAATGCTCACCCGACAACAAATATATCCATATAGGATTTTAAGGGAGTTTCTTGTGCCACCTACATCTCTTCTCCATGCTCATAAAATCTCTAACATGTCACAGCCCCAAAATAAACGAAAGAAAGAAAGAGTTAGTAACATAATCATATTTAGTATGAACAAGTAGCAACCAACAAGAAAACATATAATTATTGGCACACTACAAGGATTAACATTTATCCTCACTAATTGCATTTTATTTTTATTTTTATCAAACACAAAAGACCATGAAAAAATTGTTTTTTCACCACAGTTTCAATTCACAATCACATATTTGTCTTATTTATGATCTTGTGATGATATTATTTACAAAATTGATTTTAAAAGAACTTTTAAAATTAATTAACTTTTAATTGATTTTAAAATTGGTGACAATATTTTACAAAAGGTTATTTAAGATTAGTTATCTAAGAACTGATTTTATATATCATCTACAAAATTGATTTTTAAATAATCAATCTTAAAAGTATTACTAAGAGAGACCTTTTAAAATTGAGTATTTAAGAACCGGTTTTGTATACTATATAATAAATTAGTTCTTAAAAGTAATCGATCTTAAAGGTTAATTGATTTTAAAAGAACTTTTAAAATTGGTTAGAATTTAATCAATTTTTAAAATTAGTGACATTATTTACAAAATTATCACTATATCGCTTTTAAAATCAATTATGTCTTAACTAATCTTAAAATTATGATTTTAAAAGTGATTTTTGCAAGTGTGTACCTTCAACCCTTCATTAGAAAATTTTCTTTTGGAATGAAGAAGGAAATTTAAAGGTAGTTGATGCTGATCAAAAACATTATGAAGTTGGAGCTTATTATGCAAATTAGAAAAACACTATTTTTTCTCAAACTAAACCATTCAAGGTTGATGATCCATACATTTTTAAGGAGGAAGAAGGTATAGTGAAATCTTTTTGTTGGAATATAAAAGAGGTTTTTTTTATTAAGAGAGTCAATGTTGGATCGGCTCGAAACAAGAATTAAATGAATAAGGTGTTGAGTATGTAGTGTCTGAAGGGTTTATTGGGCTTGACCCATTTGCTTTCTTTCTTTTTTATAAATACTCATGTAATTGTAAACCTAATTATGTAATAGAAAATACTATCTAGTGCAGTCGTGGAAGTAGGTTATTCTAATTGAACCACGTAAATCTTTGTATCTTGTTAATTTACTTTCTCTCTTGCAATTGTGCGTGTGAGTGCGGTTGCGATTCCCAACAACTGGTATCAAGAGCCTAGGGTTTCACGCGAGTGAGAGTAATGGCAGAAGACGGGAAAATGAAGATTGGCAAGTTCGATGGGAGTGATTTCAGATTTTGGAAGATGCAGATTGAAGATTATTTGTATCCAAAGAAGCTATACCAGCCTCTGTCTGAGAATAAACCAAAAATGATGTCTCAGGAAGATTGGAATTTGCTAGATCGACAAGCTCTAAGGGTCGTCAGATTGACATAGGCAAAGAATGTCGCCTACAACATTGTCAATGAGAA